TAACGTTAGACTTGCTGTGATCGATTTGATTATTACAATAAATGAAACTAAATTATCCAAAATAGAAAGAGTAGTACCATGAAAAGTTTAGTTCTTTGAGTTTAGCTTAGAACTTTCTTCTCTTGCTCACCGAGCCTTAGCTTAATTGGTATTGTTGTTGTTGCAACCTCAAATCCTGTCCAGGTGGCCATGGATACAGACTCACTTAAGCGAAAAATAGCCTCCGAATCAAGGGTTTGGGGCTATGGTTATGGCATTTTATATAAAAAAAATTATGTCTTTGCAATCTAGTATGAACTTTCATGTATTTTGAGATTAGGACTCAGCTAACTGATTGTATGCGTAAGTTTTACTGTTGTACATAATAAAACGGCTTTACCAGATCCAAAATTATATTTCTTCCATTGACATGAATTCAAACTCAAACTCAATTGGTAAAAGTTTAGTACTCATATCTTTTCCATGCATGGTAACATGCTCATTTATTTCTAATTGTATTCCAAATCCCCTAGGACTGTCTTTTTTTCAGTTGATCACGGTTTGTAAGATTCCTTGGGCAAAGGAAAACCTCAACCACACTGCTCAAGCTCTTATCATCAGTGGAGGTATTTTCAATTCTATATCACCTTGATGTATTAGTATTTTCCATGGGATTCGCTGAAGTCCTAACATATGAATCCATGATATCTGCATGGCATCATATTGATCTGAATATCCATTATGGACATAGAAATAGGAGAGAAATTGAAATGGCACACCACCTTCCTCGAGTAATAATATGGCTATCTTTGTTCGTTAACAACATCGATTGCAGCTTACTTCATTATTGATGATAAAACTGTGTTAGAAAGTGCTAGGAGAAATTCTCGAGTTCAATTGGACAAAAATGTTTGAATGCCAGAATCAAAGGTAGTGGCAAAGGTTCCAAGGGTCACTATAGTTTAATGCTGCTAAGCTGTTTTATGGCAAATGATGTCGCCATCCCCCAATAAAGCTGTTATAAGAGTAAAAAATGATTATTATAAAAAAAGAGTAAACAAAAGATGTTTTATGGTTTTGTTTACAGCCATGAGGTTATATTTCTTCTATCCTTTAACTTGAAACTAAGTCAATCTTTTGACTTGAATAATTTTTTGTGTATATAATATAGCCAACATATATGATTAAGTTTAGAATGTCATGGCTATTATCTTTTGTAAGTTTGAACATTGTACAAACTTTTGATGGTTAATGTTATACTTCTTTTTGTTATGTAGTATACGTCTTGCAATTAATGTGCTAGTTTTCAAATATGTTAATTACTTTTTATAAATTTAAATATTATATTTTTAGATAAATTATGTAAAATTTTAATTAAATGTTGAAGTAGTGAAAGTTAAAAATCCCTAATATTGAACATTTAATTAAATGTTGAAGTAAAATTTTAATATATTTTTAGATAAATTATGTAAAATTTATTATTAATTAAAATTAAAATAATACATGATAATAAAATAATATATTATTGATGAATTTTTATATAAATAATTTTTATTTAAATATATTATCAATGAATCTTTATATAAATAATTTTATTTAAATATTTAGAATTTCACTTGTTAAAAAATATAAAACAATGTCAATTTGGTAAATAAACATTCCAGTAATATTTTATTCATTCAGTCAAACACTGTAATCTTACATTACTGCCAAACAAACCAAACACAGTAATGTAACATTCCTAGTAATGTGTTAGGTAATATTACATTCCGGTAATCCTATTCCCACTGGTAATCTTATATTCCGTGAACCAAACGCACCCTTAGTATTGACCTTTTACCCTCACTTGGGAATGTGACCCATCCAAACGTAGGTATATTAATCTGGAAAAAAATTCCTCCCAGGAATACAAAAATCCGTGAACCAAACACCCCTAAGAAATCATAAAAAAACCCAACATTATCGTATTTATTGACTTATTAAAACCAAAAATAAAATGATACACCCCCACTCTCGGTCTTTCCTTGTGCGCTCGATCAGTCTCTCCTGCCGTCGCCGGTTTCTCTCCGTTTAAACGCCGATAGCTTGTCCTTCGACAGAAGGAGATTAAGAAGTAAATAAATTGTATGTTTAGTGTGCAAACACCAGGTACATTTGTCGCAATTTAATTTTTTCTTATTATGTACCTAGGTTTATCGATTAAAGCAACATTGACCTTAATATACATTCCATCTAAAGCACCCAAACATCCCTATATTCATCAAATAAATTTAAATTACATTATTAGTATCCATTTATGTATTAAGCATTACTAATTAATTTAAAAGTAATTTCAGAATTATGATACAATACCTTAAACTATTTCCATCTATCGTCTATTGAATTATCTTGTATCAGTTCTGGTTTTTAAAAAATAATCGGATGTAGTTTCAAGACTGAAGTTAACACTGTATGGAGAACTCTACTAATTGTTTCACCAGATCTTACTATTTGACATTTTAGAACTATATTCTTAATATGGTGGGATATAATATGAATGAAAGTAATAACCATTTCTTCTATAGACATAGATCGACTCTCTTTTAACCCACCTTGACTTTGTAATAGGTGACACAATTTGAGAAATGCTCTCCTATCCATTCGACAATTATCAACACTTCGTCTCACTTTCAAAATAATATTTTATGTAAATTAAGTGACCTAATATTATGTTTATGAAGTCTTTCATGTGCATAACTTATTTTAGGTCTATTTTTATATTTTCTAAGAATAACTGAAATAACCATAAGCATATGACATACAATCTCCATCATTTGTAGTTGTAAAATAAGAATTGTGGAGACATGCGTCTTCTTTCGCATTGGTAAACGAGTCATAATTGTTATTATGAACAAACATTTTAATATTAGAACATAATAATATTGAACAAGAACAATTGTGTGTCATCACATTAAAAATAAATGAAAACTAATTTAACAATTCTGAAGTAATTAAAAACAGAAATCATGAGTTTAACATAAGCTTGAAAAATTATAGAAAATCTAAGAGCAACTAATGGTAGACTTATGAGAGTTTATACTCTTAAGCTTAAAAGGGCACCTAACATGTCCGCTTTCTTGTTGTTCAAGGAAGGAACTCACCTCACCCCGTATGATAAATGCAGAAGCAAAGGAACTTGTTTATGGTGAAATCGATACAAGGTTGGCAGAACTCGAGTCACAAAGCCGGCAAAAAGATCTAGAAGCCCTTAAGCAAATACTTGAAGCAATGCAGAAGTTTAAACATATGTCAGGTCCCCGAAAAGAAGAACAAGCTTCAAGTTTAAAATCTCACACAAACAACATTCTCGGACAGAGCTTAGAAGTACATAGTAGCATCAAAAGCAATGCAGATTATAAAAGCAGATATGAAATCATTCGAGAAAGCTACATAGTAGCAATGCAGTTTCAGCCTCAAGCAAGGGAACTAGTTATCCAACATTCCTTAAATCGCCAATCAAGATTATAAAAGCATCCCACATATCTGGAATTAACAATGATGGAAAGTCGTTTACATTTACATTTTTCTAGCACACATATTTTTTCGTCATCGATATCAGGTTTAAAAGAAAATATTTTACCTTTTAATAACATGTATATCATAGATATTTTTCTATGACTTGTTCTTTGTTCTGTACAATTCATTTTGTATTTACTTTTATTTAGTGAAGTGGGAGTAGAAGGACTAGAGACACTAGATTATTTGGATAACATGCAGAACAAGGAGCGGTTCACTGAACAAGGGGATGCAATAATGTTTGAGTCAGAAGTTAGTGTCAATTTCTCTTAAATCATTCTTATTTTTCCAAGTCTTTCAATTCTAATTTGTATTTTTTTGTTTAATTGTTCTTGATGAAAAAGGTGGAAAAAATATACCTCAGTACACCGACAAAAAATTGCCATCCTAGACCACAAAAGGAAGCAAACAATTGTGTTGCGAAAGGATGGACTTCCCGATGCTGGTAAGTTTATTATATCCATACACTTCCATTCTAATTAAAACCGGGAGTGTAGGACGTGTTGTAAATCTCCTTAGATTTGTAAATCTAACTTCGATAAGAGCACTAAATTATTTGTTCATTGAGATAAAACAAATTATAAAGCCTATTTTCCTAAGGAAACTACAGAACCATGAGAGTTTAATCCAAGCTCAAAGAATAAAATTATTCACAATCTAACATAAAATAAGAAAAAGAAAAACTTTATCACACCAAACACTCAATAAACCAGACGATCACCTATCGAAAACCCTAATCACATGAAAAGAAAAGCCATTTGTTTCCCAATCAGCTCCTCCAAAGCAACCATAACCCATCACCTAAAAATCCATCAAAAGCACACACACAAAAAAGGGAAAAATTCAACAAAAACCCATGAAAAATCTACCTCGAAACAGAGCATCCCCAGATCCAAAATCGTTCCTTTCCACGAACAGAGATAAAAAAACCCAGTTTTCAAATTCAACCATTAACTCCAAAACACTAAAAAATTACAAATAGGGGGGGAGACGAATCTAGCAAGAGATTAGAAGATAGAGATAGAGCACCACAGAAGAAGTCCGTTGGAGTAGTAATGGACAACTCTTCGCAACAACTCTCGCCAAATCGAAGAAGAAGAATATTTTGTTTCAGCCATAAGCAAGTTAATAGGGTGAAGGATATTTTAGTCCATTAAGCACGGGAAAAAAGAAATACCTAAATAAGATGTGGGAATAATATTTCCAGTAATACAAACCCAAAAAAAAAACTGTTAGTATTGACCTTTTACCTCACTTGGGAATGTGGCCCATTCAAACGTGAGTATATTAATCCGGAAACAAAATTTCCTCCCAGAAATGCAAAAATCCATGAACCAAACGCCCCTAAAAATCATAAAAAACCAACATTATCGTATTTTCCGACTTATTAAAACCAAAAATAAAATGATACACCCCTCTCTCGGTCTTTCCTTGTCCGGTCGATCAGTCTTTCCTGTCGTCGCCGGTTTATCTCTGTTTAAACGCCGACAGCTTGTCCTCCAATGTAGAAGGAGATTAAGAAGTAAACAGTTGGGAATATGTCCTCGCATGAACAAGCAGTTGCCTCCTTAATCTCACAACTAGCTCTCTCTTTCGACGACGTCGTTTTAGGGGCTACCTTAGCCTACGCCACCTTCTGTACAATATTCCGGTTCAAGGCTACCTCCACTGCCCTCCGCAAAATCCGCGGTTCACCGCACTCCCGCTTGTCCGACCTCCGTTCCCTCCCCGAGGATGACAACTTAGATTCCGCCGAGGAACCTATCGTCGTCATTCGCGGCGCCGTCAACGTAAGACCTGCTGCCGATGGACGGAGCTTGACTAGACTTAAGAATAACGCGCTCGTCTGTCAAGAGTCTGGCGATAAAGCTGTTATCATCCAAAGCAGGGTTTCAAATCGCGGTCACGGTCTCGTTTTCGGTTATTTCGGATTTACCATGATTGCGGCCGTCGCGGGCGCTATTGCGATCGTCGCGGGTAACTCGGACAACGGCGAAACTGTTACATCGCGGACGAAATCGCGGTCGCGGACCGTTTTTTAAAACCCTGATCCAGAGAACACAAATTGTGAGGACTTGCACAAAAAGAACTATTTTAATTTTTTTTATATACACACACAATCTGATTATTGAAGTTCTATTTTTTTATTATTTTTTGAAAATTAAGTATATTTACCATGAATGGAGAGGCTTGTTTGGATGGACTTCTGATTTACGTGCTATTCTTTGGAGATCTTGGAATAAAAAGAGTCAACTTCGATGAGAACAGTAAGTTAAAAGCTTCCATTTTCCCGTTAATTAAAAAAAAATGATTCTTTTTTTCTTTCTTTTAATGCTTAATTGTTTTAGTTATCTCATGCTTTATATTAGAACTTCTTTTGGTGTGTTTATTATGTTCAAGCATTGGAATTTTGTTCTGTTTTCGGTTTTAATGTTCTGGAGGTTCCTTTCATTTAGATTGAAGGTGGTCAATGGCATCAATCTGATTTTGTTATTGTCAACACGAATGGCTCAAAGCATCCCCTACCTCTTACTACAGTTTATCATCAACTGCATCCTATAAATGCTTCGCCATATACATTCCTCCAAGCTTTGTTTGGTCATGAATACCCTGTGAGTTAAGAAAAATTCGAATTTTATTGCTTATTCGTTGCTAAAGTTCAAAGATTATGTTGATTATTTATTGTAGTATTGCATCATTTGTTCTATAGACCTGCTCACCTGTAACCCCCTCAGACCGATGCGGATAGCTCGATCCGATCTGGGGTGTCACATTAGGGCCACCGGAGCGACCCACCGTAAAAATAGCGGAAAATTTAAAACTTTTCTTAAAACATGTAAACTCATAAAATCATTTACGAACACAAAATAAAATTTATCCATATTCTAAATAAAACAGATTTTCAGACTCGTATATAAAACAAAATACAATTACATGCCCCCTAATCACGTGTACCATACTCTGCAAGTAACGCCGGAAGAACTCCCTATTGATGTCGATAGCTGCACTGGTACAATTCTTTTAACCTGCAATGGTGAGTAATAGAGTGAGCTTCGAAAAGCTCAGTAATACAGAACTACCAGATAATGTTGCAAGACATGCCGATAAATAGAAAGCCATATAATTTCCTTATTGATTCATATAATTTCCTTATTGATTCAGACGTATATTAATTTTTAGTATAATATGGGGTTTCACTGGTAGTTCATCGAATAGAAGCCATGAATATCTCAGTTCATAGGAAGCATTCATAGTATCACGTTTTCAGGAGATCGAATAGGATGTCTAGTGTGTTCCAACTTTACGATAAAATCATAATAGGTACACTTATCAAATGGTAGTTCAGTAAATCTTATAAATCATACTATAGTGGAGCTTTTTAAACTCGTAGTTTAAAACCACCGTATAAAGAGTTAACCTAAGGGAACATCTTGGCCTGAGAGTCTACCCAAGAAGGTTCGGGGCCACGGGGCCTACCTAAGAACACATCTTAGGGCTGCAGGGCCTACCCGAGAATGATCTCAGGGCCGCAGAGCCTACCTAAGAGTTACAATAGGTCCATACAAATTTTACAGCTTGATCAGAGCTGTACTTTATAAATCAATATCTCCAAAATACAATTGCACCGTGACATAATTTCCATAAACCCATAAACCATTACCATTAAATCAGTGCATCAATAAAACAGTAACCATAGATTTCAGTATACCACATATTAAAACAAATAAAACAATTTAGTAATATATAGGGAACACACTAGAGAATCCAAGTATTTTTCAGAGGCATTTTGTAGTTATCAGAATTGATAACATAAACTTGTGCAATATGATCGGATTCCATGAACGAGGTCATATTGAAGAGAATCGATTACTAACCGATCTAATCAGACATTTAAGGCTGATACTTTAGAATCCCACTATGTTTTCATATGCATCAGTGAAGTGTTTAGGAACCTTTATACGAAATAATTCTAGATTCAGATTTACTGAGAGTGATTCCATTACCCAAACAATCAGGGGTATTCAGGAATATACTTTGAATTCATAGGATTTTAGCTCAATTGAACCAAATGGGGTATTCAAAATCTTTTCATTCTACGCTACTTGCGTTTTCAAACATGATTGAAGTGATTTAAGACGAAAATGTAGAATCGAAGATTCAAGTCATTTACAATTTAAGACTATCGATCGTATTATCAAACAACTTGAGTTACACGACTCCCAAACTGGTACATGTCAACAAGTCAATTCATTATCCTTCCAGGGTATTCACTCTTTAATACCAGAATGCATATCCATAGATTATCCCCATAATCATCGCTGAATAGATCTTCCAATGGTCTTTATTTCATTTCCACATTTCAACAATATCAAGAAATACTGACGTATTTGATTCGTGGTTTATTACCCATAGTAATGGTACACTATGTGAACTCACCAGAATTTCCAGACTTATCCAAATCACTTACTTAATCCTCAGTCATTGAGGCTACTTAGTTCATTTAGCAATCATTTCTTACTATCCAATGTGCTCTAGTGTTGAGCTGAGTTGAGTACTTCTAAAATTATCATCTATCGAAACTTGATAAGACGGATCTGTATTCAATTGAGATATATGACAGTCAAGTACTAATATTGTATTAGGGTTGATTTTCATTTAGCAATCAAGTCTATTCCAACTATTTCGGGGTTTTCTGGAGTAATTCAGACGTTTCTAAATTTTGGATACATTTTGCACTACTGATCATTTCAATTTAGTCCTATAATAAAGTCATTCTGGTATTTGTGGTTAATTTATCTCATAAATATCCATTTCTTACTATCCAATGTGCTCTAGTGTTGAGCTGAGTTGAGTACTTCTAAAATTATCATCTATCGAAACTTGATAAGACGGATCTGTATTCAATTGAGATATATGACAGTCAAGTACTAATATTGTATTAGGGTTGATTGACTTACTTAAGCAGTGTTCCATAACTTTTAAGGGTAGTACACCACCCATATTTATTTAGATTCTTAATAAATCCAAGACATTTACTTAGTCTACTTCATAAGGGCATTTTGGTCATTTTGGTACTCAATGTTTTTCCATTCATTTCAAAGCTTGTGGATACTCATTCATTCCTGGGCTTGGTAATATTCTTGAGTTATTTCCAATACAGGGGTATTTTGGTCATTTTACAGATCCATTGTTTTTCAACCCTTTTCTTTCCATATGATCTTATTATTTAATTCATACGTATCATCTTTTCCAGACCTTTTGAACTATTCTGACAAACGAGCACCCTCGATAATTTATTCTTAACTTAGAGATTTTCAGGTCAATTGCCTTCTCAGAAGTTACAAACAAGTTATCAGCAATTTTATATACAAAGACGGATCTTAACAATTTAATCTGTAATTTATCGAGTTAAGTATGAATCCTCAAAGTACTTTCTCATTCAGGGTTAACTCAAATTATTTTTACCTCTCAAGGGCATTTTCGTAATTTCTTAACCAGATAATTTTGGTATTAACTCTTAACGAAAATAATTGTAATTTAGAGATCTTATGGTTAACTGCTTTCCCGAACATTCTCTGATCTTGAAATTATTCCTTAACAGACTTTTAGGGACAATTCTTGTCATCTTACAACATAAGGGTATTTTCGTAATTACACGGAGTATTCTCATAATTTCCCATCCAAGTACCTTTGATGAAATAAATTATATGTTACAGATCCAAGCTGATTCATTTATCACTAAACACATAACTTGCAATTTTAATTCTAACAATCCCTCAATTTCTTATAAAAGTCATCTGAACCATAATCAGTTACCGAATTTTTATCGTATTCGGATTGAGTGTAGAAATTAATTAACTACACATATGAGACCAATATTATCTTATTCATGTATTTACCAATATCAACATATTCCAATAAACATAAAGAGGTAGTAAAGTATTACCTCGATTTTTGTGCAATACTGATCAACCATTAATTTCCATTTGAACGTCCTCGATCCTTAATTCAACTTCCAATAATTCCTCAAATACATAACAATATAATTTTCATCAAAATGGGGTTTAATTTTGAAAAACAGATCGAATCGGATGATAAATCAATGAAAAATAGCTTATCGGGTTCGAATTTGGCGAAACGGACCCAAAAAACGGATTCAGGACATCAAAAATGTCAGGGTAGGTATACTCGAAAAAGTCAACGGTTGTTCAATGCCCAGTCAACTGTCAACGATCAACGGTCAACGGTCAACGGGTCGGGTGGGTCAGGTCGTTCAAACCGGTTCAAACTGGTCTTTTTTTTCTCTCTTTACCTGTGGCCAGGCGTGCGACTCCGTGGAGGGTCCAAAAATTCCCGGAAAATTTTCTAAAAATTATTTTATGGCATTTTGAGACACTTACCAAGTTCGGTTCAAAATTTTGAACGGTGGAGAGCTCGATTCAGAAACGTTGGAAACTTTGACCTTCTCCCCTTCCACGCGTCGGTGTGTTCCTCCAACTAAAGCAAAATTCTTCAGTTGATTTTTTAGGTTTACATTTTGAACGAAAGAATATGATGGTATGTCATTTATTTTCAGTTCGGATGAAGAAAAAGGCAATATGCTTAATTTTTGGTCTTACTATTTCCATGGAAGTACATGATAACATGATGAATTGGTCATGTAGGTGAAATCAAGACCAGCTAATAACTGAATATTTTATGATGCTACCTGAGTTCTTTAACTGGCATCACCAGCATTGTTGTTTGAGCAGCGGATATTGTTCTTATTTGCTCGGATATGAACCCGATTATACTAACCAACATATGTTTAGTTGATTAGATTTGTGTTTAAAATCCGAATTTTTAAGGCTTGTTCATGTTCTTGATACAGTAATTGTCAAAACTGATGGATCACTTAACTGCAAACATTTCTTCACACACGGTACTGCACTTTTTTAAGAATCTACATAGCAGGGATTATTAGATACAGGCTGCCCTTTCCACCACAGCCCGACACAACCGTCATTCTCTTCAACTCTCATCTCCCAATTACTATCGTACTTCCTCAGCAACGCTAGAGCCCGTCAATGGCATCCTCTCCGAACACTTCTGTCACGAACCCTACTCCTTGCATCCTCTCGCACCATTTTTCTTTCCCTTCGTTCATCTCTCCTTGGTTTGTTAAAGCCTTTGCCGCCTCTCCTTCCATTACTCGTCCTTCCTCGCTCTCTCGTCCTTTAAATGCCAGGCTTGACGAGTCCAGGAACTTCCGTAGGTACTCGACTCTCCGAGAGAATCCCTTCGCGAAATCTCCGCAGTTGCTGCAGCTGCAATCCATGTTGTTCTCGCTCAGAATCACCCCTTTTGGTTCTAAACTTCTTAGTACTTTCAAGAATCCGGTTCTTTGATCATGCCCGTTGTGATCCAGACGATGCAGTCTAAAGTCTAAACTGTGCGCAAACTATAAAGGTCTCACCCGGTGAGTTGTTGATAGTTTATAGTTTGCGCGTTCAGGTGTTCTAATGACTGGTTCTTGACCCGGTTTATCTGCAAATTGATGTTCATGGGCTTGGCGAAATTGGGAAGTCGAAAATAGAAACCATGACTGGGTGGACCGATCGAGAAAGGGTGTCTGTGATCTGGTTATTTTTAGCTGTGGCCACCACAACTGTGATGCGAACGAGAGGAGGTGGCCCTCTGGAGCGGCGAGACAAGGCCTCAAGAAGCGTTGGCCATTGAACACCATGAGATACACCGATGTCGAGAATATGAAGAGTCCGGGTATTATCAGGCTCTTGAGCTAGAATTTGGAGTATGTTTAGCAACTGTTCTGCCCATCTTCCTTCCTTGTTATTACCGTTATCTCCTGAAGACTTGTTTTCTTGTTTCCTGCTGACCTTTTATTATTCCCCGTAACCTCTTCAACTCCTGCTTTACCTTCTTCGTTCTCGTTGATCCGACCGTTATGATTCTTCTTATGTTGCTGTTGATGATTCAACATCTTCGGAAAGTTATCATCGTCGGATGGTTTCCTTCTTTTCGACAAATTCGACATCACAAGACGATCAACAACGGTGGAATCGGATCGTACGATACCGACATCCGTACCACTTACAACAGCACCGGCAGCAAAGGTGGGACTATTGCTAGAAGTTGCAGCAGTACCACCTAAGTTAATCAGATGCTGACCGAACTCTTGATTCGGATCCCACCATGGATAGCAATCGACATCACCCGAGGCGTACGGAAAATCCAAGAAAGTCGGAAGGAACGACGCGGAATCATCGAGCCAATCCAAGATGTGATCTTGGATCGGATTTGGCTCAGCCGATTCCTCAAGTCCCATGATTTCCTAGATTGAAAACCGAGTTCCAAAGAAAGTTCTCCTGATAATCATTGACCAAATGAAAGGGAAACATTACTAAATCATAAAACAAGTTGATTAAAATAATGTGGAAGTGGACGATAAAGGGAATATTGAGGAGTTTGGTGTGCTGTTGTTATTTGGAAGATGTGATTTTTTTTTTCTTATTAGATTAGGAGTGTAACGGTACGACATGTCGGAAGATGTCGGAAAGTTTGGGCTTTCAAGAGACGGCGAACTCTATTTTTGCTAATTATTAATAAGATAAAGTTTAAAAATATTCTTTTTAAAGGGTTGACAATTTTATTTTATTTTATTTTAAATTATTGTTTATAATATTAGAAAAAAATTTAAAGCAAAATTTTAGTTAAAATTAAGAGATCAAATGAGGTATTATATATTAATTTTAATCTATCACATCATATTTTTAATATTAACTAATATAAGTTGACGTTATTTTATAATAAAATTCAAAGTTTAATGATCCCAAAGATTATTTTGAGAAAGTTTAATGATCATATTTTAATTTTATCCTTATTAATACGTAGGTTTTCAAGTATTTATGAGATAGTCTCTAACGTTTGCTTGAATGATTATTTTGATTCTTATTCTTTTTTCAGTATTAATGTTCAGTTTTTTGGTTAAGATAATCTATGTTGAATGAAAACTGTTAGTTGATTAATAACACTTATTATTAAAGTGACATTTTTATATGTATTAAATTATTTATGTGTCACATGTCAAATCACTTAAGGTGATGATATGACATATATCATGTCACCTAAGACAATAACGTGATAAATGCTAAATCTTCCAAGATGATAACATTGTTATATTATTTAAGATGATAATGTATCATGTCATCTCACTCAAAATTATAAAAAATATTATATTAAAATATGTATATATTGATAGTGAATCAACTAACATTTTCTTCTAATATAAATCATTTTGATTAAAAATATAAAACGTAGAAAATTAAAATGTTAAAAAAGAAGAATTGAAACTAAAATGTCAAACATCAAATAAACATTAGAACTGATTTTAACATTATATTAAAATATATTTTTAATATATTTTTAAAAATATAAAATATAAAATTTTATAATTTTAAAAAAGAAAAATATAAATTTTGAAAACTTTCATTTCATCCCCTAAACCGATGTGGATCGTTGCCCTTTACCGTCGAAGAAGCTCCACCTAGCCTCCCCTCCCCGGCGACCATAACCCCTATGAAATCGTGACCGGTTGACGATCAATCTACCACAAATCAACGTTTTAAATCTCATGAATCTTAGGATGAAAATCGCGATCCCACGCGTTTTCGACGGTGAATCGACGACAACTACGACAACATATAACTAGGATGATGTCAAGGACTACGTCGATAACGGTGGTGGTCGTCAGAGAAGGTGCCAACAGTGGATTATGCTTAAGATTTAGTATTTTGGGTTGTTTTATAATATAAGAAAAGTTAGAATTTTTTTATAAACATAATAATGTTTCTAATGTTTTTAAAAAAAAAAAATTTCAAAATTATCAGGTGTTGACATATGATATTTAACGAAAAAAACTAACAGTGTTGATGACATAGACACTTAAAAAAATAACGTTTATAACGTGAAGCATCTGGGTGGATAAAAATACTGTAGTCAATTATTTGACAAAAAAAATTATATAATTTGATAACTTATTTAGGTATTAAGCCTTTTAACAACCATAAATAATGAGCAGCTTTGCAAAATGAGATGGGCACTCATTTTAAGGAGAAAAGAGGTGGACACAGCAAAAAAGGCCATATGTGCCTCCACGGAGTGAGCAGTCACCTCCTTTCCCTACATATATACACTCTACAATAAAAGTATATTACATGAATTCATATCGGCGTATAAATTTATTATAACATTTTATTAAAATTTCTTTTGACAAACCATTTTATTAAAACTAAATACAAATATATATGATTTTAACATATGACATTACATGTATAATAATTGGAACATAAATGATAATAAAGTTGGTTTTTTTTAACAAAATTAGATTAGCATATCCTTTTTTAATTGAAAATATAAAATCTATAGCATACTATTACTAGTATTTGAATTAAATTTTAAGATTTTTTATTTTTATTTTTTCTTTAATGGATATTTTGTGAAGATGTCAGAGACAGATTAAAAGCAGCAACAGAGGGAAGCAACAATACTACAGCAGCACAAGTAGAGGCACTAAACCCCTCTTTTCTGTCTTTCAGATAGCTCTTTAGATTGGGTCTTTGTTGTTCTTCTTTTAGTTCCATCACAGAATTATATTTTATATATATACATATACCTTTTGAGTTTGTTTTTGGTTCTTACTTTAAAGATGATTAGTGGCAGAAACAAGTGCCCTTTCACTCCAAATCAATGGCAAGAGCTTGCTCACCAAGCTCTCATCTTCAAGTATATGGTCTCTGGAGTTCCTATCCCACCTCAACTCATTTACTCTGTCAAAACTAGCTTTGATTCTTCCTTGCCTCCTAACCTCTTATCTCAACAACACAGTAAGTATATCTGCAAAAACATACATACATACATATACATCCATACATATGTTCGTAATGATTTTTAGCACTCACGGTGTGTGGGTGTGGTTGCAGCAGGGTGGAGTTGTTTTCAGGCGGGATATGGAAGAAAACCAGACCCAGAGCCAGGGAGGTGCAGGAGAACTGATGGGAAAAAGTGGAGGTGCTCCAAAGAAGCTTACCCAGATTCCAAGTACTGTGAGAGGCACATGCATAGAGGCAGGAACCGTTCAAGAAAGCCTGTGGAAGTTTATGCTACTGCTTCTTCGTCGTCGTCGTCATCAACAACAGGCTCAACTCTTTCAACATCTTTCCCATCAATCAATAGTAACCTTTCCATTTCCAGCTCTAATACCAATTCTTCATTCTCTTTTTCTCCTACGCCTTCTGAAACCTATACCCATTTCGACCCTTTTCTTTATTCTCACTCTTCTACTTCCACAAGGCTTCCTGGTACAGGCTTATCAGTTCCATCTCACCCTTTCCTGGATCCTGCAACTGGACTTGATTACAGGTTTTTTTTAATAGCTTGAATAAACCCTTTTGCTTTCCTATCTTTGTATAATACCTGTAATAGTTGATTGTTCTTTGTTTGATAGGTATGTTCATGGAACAAGGGAAGCTGTGGATGAAAGATCTTTCTTCCCTGAAGCTTCAGGGAGTGTAAGAGTTGTACCTGAATCATATCCGCCATTGTCAATGGTTCAAAGCTTTGGTGAACAAGAGCAGCACCAGCAATGCTTTGTTTTGGGTACTGATATCAAGTCAGCTAAGCCAATCAAGTTAGAAAAAGATGAAGAAACTCAAAAACCAGTGCACCAATTCTTAGGGAGTTGGACACCAGGGAACAACAACAACGGGTCTTGGCTTGATCTTGCATCCAACTCCAGGGTTCATTCAGGCAAAAAAAAAAATTCATTTCCCACCCATCATTTTTGTTTTTTTCACATTTCGTACAAATTTTATTTGTCCATTTCCTAACACATCTTTTTTTCTTTTCTTTTTGCACCTGCAGATAGTTGAGGTCTCAGTAATGGAATCAATAAAAGCACTTGAACGATGGGTCAGTTTCAATACCTTTGCTCTTGAAATTTGTGGTTAGGATTGCTTTGTTGTGATAAAGTTGTGAACCGAACAGTGTAGGGCCAGTAGAAGATTATCTATTTGTTGCTGTCACCCACTCTGATAACCTACTTTTTATCTTCTTCCCTGGAGGAAACATGTTTCGAATTTGTAAGACTTTACTTCTTTGACTATGGAATAGCCCTTAAGAAGTAAAGATATTTCCTTTTAGGTTTCTGCCTTGTATTATCAAGAAAAATATCTCCAGCATTCCATCATTGTGTGCTATGAACACACTATATTACTCATCATATATTTCAAGCTCTTAAATTTATATTCGACAACGAAGTTTGAATCCTCGACAAATCACTTCAGTAGAAAAACACAAACAAAAGGGTGCGATCATCATTAGCCCATTGGCTTGAATTACAAATCAATGATAATGAATTGAACACTTATCACAAGTTGATGAATACCACCACCAATGATATTACCTTGCATGTGTGGAAGTAAGAAGCTAGTACCTGCCAGGGAAGAATCCTTGTTTCATGTATAAAGAGGAAAAAGAAAGGCAATATTAAAGAGGGTGGTTCTAAAAGGACTATGCATAATGGAGAGATTCTAGGGAACAAATGAAGTGCGTGTATTTTACATGGTTGACAGTTTTATCTGACTCTCAGCAGATCCATGTCTGGATTCTTAGCCCCATGCCATAGAACAGGCATAATTGAACACCAGTTTACCATCGAAACCGAAATTCTGAAAAATGCAAACGCATATCGGCTTAGATTAACAGATAAACATCGACAAGTATGGTCGAAAATTTATTTGGAGACACAAGCAAGTAATGGAGTAGCATCCTCTCGAAAAAAAGAATTCAGTATAGTGAAGAAAACTTTTCTTATAGAAGTCATCATCTTCAAGGGGTTCTTATGATGAACCTAAAAGTGTCTAATGGTGGATACAATAGATCTGTAAGAGAACTATTTAAAATGCAACGAACATTTTCTGACAGAATACTCAGACCAATCTATTGAAGACTGAAGTAATGGACCATTTCATGTGAAAACTCATTCGATTCTGCCATAATGGGCCCTATTGACAATATAAGATAAAAGGAAATAGTTGCAGGGTTTAGGTAAATAGTTATCTCTATACGTTAAGGCACATAAAATTCAGAAAAAAGCATATGCTATATGCTCAAGTTAATGCCATAAAGTCAGGACCGTATGGTGATTTTTGTCATTATCATCATACAGATGAAAAACATGTCCGTGATGAACTGATGATGAACGTTCGCATAAAAGAATAAGTTCTGAGCTAAATATCTTCGTTCTTTCCTATTCCAATTTGTATTTCCGAAAAGAAAAATCCAGTCATGAAATCAGATATGTAAGTCAGTTCCCTCTTTAAAAAATCCATAAATACTCCAAAAGAGTTATTCACATAACTAAAATCAGCAAGAGAAAGTATCTTTAAGTATTATGACTTACATTATATAGATCAATCACCAATTCATCTGGGTTTGGTGAGAATGCACTATTGACGTACACGAACTGCAAAACGACGGATAAAAAATTAGTACAAATGCAAACAACAGAATGAAGCTAACTTGAAAAAACTAAGATATAATAGACACGAATCGATTACCAATGTGTCACGGTGCAGTTGTCGGCATAGGAAATCGATTACTTTAGCAAATTTGTCAGTTCCAGGTATCTGCAAAGGTACATTTCATACGATGACAACCATTACATGCTAGAAGAGATTGAATGAACACATATGCATACATACATACATACTCGAGAATAAGATTTAAGGAATTGTTTCAAGTTAATCACAAAACTCCAATTGCAATATCAACTAAAATTGTATAATTTGTTTATCTGCAAACTAAACCAAGCTTCTAAGCAGGGTTGCACATTTGTCGGATTTCAATCCGATCCGGATCGGTTTTTATCCGATCCGGTTTTTTTCCCATAGAAAAAAAACCGGTTTATAAAATAACCGGTTCGGTTTCTAACCGGTTTGGAGGGCCGGATATCCTAACCGGTGTAACCGGTTTCGATTTTAAAAAAACCGTTTTTTTTAAAAAACCGATTTTAATATTATTAAAATTACATCGTCATCAATTGCAACAAAGTTTACGATAATTTGTTGAAAACATTTTGATATTTCGATATAACAAATTAAGTTAAATGAATTTTAAGATTTTCCAAATGATTTTCTAAGTATATTCGATATAATTATTCAAATATCAAAACATTACTCCAAATATTTCAAAAATCATTTTTAATCCTTACTTAAGTGTAAAATTAAATTTTAATCTTAAAACAATTTCAAAATAATCTTTCAAAGTATTTCGAACCATTTCAAAGCCAAAAATTCCAGATTGCTCATAGGGAACCGATTCCCCCCAAGGGGGTACCGATTCCTCCCTGAATGGTTTGGCTCCGAGATTTCTAGAATGCTCGGAGGGAATCGATTCCCCCCTATTCAACGGTCGAAATATTTAAATTTTACACTTAGGGAACCGATTCCCTATGAGAGGGAACCGATTCCCTATGAGAGGGTATCGATTCCCCCACGCTCCAAGCATTTTTATTAAATGTTTTCACACTTAAACGGCTATATTATCTTCATTAATTATCACTAACGTTCAGAAGTGATTCAAGGTGTATTTAAGCAAGCTTAGAAGCCATTGATCAAAGACAAGAAACATCAAGCAACTAGAATCAAGAGAGAGAATCAAAGAGAAAGCATCAAACCTCAAGTTCGATAAATTCAAATACTTAATTGAAATACTTAATTAACTCAGCATAATTGAAATACTTAAATACTTCCAAGTTTGATAAATTCAAATACTTAAAAACTTCCAAGTTCGATAAATTCAAATACTTAAAAACTTCAAGTTCGATAATTGAAACAAAGTTTACGATAATTGAAATAAAGTTTAAAAATAAACTACATTGCCATCTCTTCTTCATCATCTTCGCCTTCTTCGTTTGGAGGGGATATTCCAAGTTCGACTTCTTCAATGTGTAAGTTTGCTTCCAAATTGGCATCAATTGCATCTTCTAGGTGGTGATATGTTGCTTACGAGCCGCTTCATCCAATAATCCTTTAAACAAATGCATACTTCCACCGACTCGGGACTTAATCTTGATCTCCGTTGCGATATAACCCTGCCACTAACAGAAAAAGCGGATTCCGAAGCTACCGTAGAAGCTTGGACGGTTAGTAAATCACGGGCCATGGCGGCTAGAATCGGAAATTGTGCTTCCTTTTCTTTCCACCAAGCCAAAATATCCAAACTTTCAAACTCTTCAAATGTCATTTTTGATAGAAAATCGCATGACATGTAATTTCCCAACTCGCTACTTGGGTGGTAGTACGTGATCGTTTGGATTGGGAATTTACAAGAGTGTTAAAATTCAAATTTATGTTACTTGGACGTCTACTAGATGATTCCGCATTCATTCTCATTTGAGTGTATTACACTACTTGATCCGTATTTAGTTAAATAAATTGCAAACATGTCTCGAAAACATTTGTTAAAATAATTTATTTGGTTTTGGACAAAGTTGGGTTCATCATCGGTTAGATTAAAAGCAAACGCAATTTGTTCAATTAGTGTTTCAACCCCACCAACATTTAACGTTGGGTTTAAAGCGACGGCACAAGTAAAATGGGGGGAATCTCCTTAAAATATTTTAAAAGTTTTTCCTTCATTGCAAAGCCAATTTCTTGAAAAATTTCGGTTTCAAATTCAAAGTCATTTAGTCGGGTAGCCAACAAAATATTTGATTAAGAACCAACGGCTAGTAGGGTAATAACACCGGATAAAAAAGTTGTTGCATTTTTAAAAACCTCAAGCAAATCGGTTATTTTGGCTATAGTTTCCCAACTCGAATCCGGATAAATGTTTGGGACATGACCCCTCTCGAAAAGCCGTCGTGAAATGTTTGCAATGTTTCCCTTTGCCTTAAGGCAGTATGCATCATCATCCAAGTTGAGTTCCAACGAGTTGGACAATCCAAATTAGGACCCAAAGCTTTTTTATTAACGGACTTACAAAATTGTTTATAATCATTTAGTCTTTTGTTGTTGTTACAAAGAACCGATTTTATCATTGTTTTTAAATTCTAATCTAATCGGCTCAATACCTCCAAACCGGCTTGCACGGATAAATTAATTATGTGTGCAACGCAACGGGTATGAAAAAACGCACCGTCTAAAATCGGTGAAAGTAATATTTTCAATCTTGGAACCGCGTTTGTATTATTCGATGCATTATCAAAGGATATAGAAAAACTTTATTTTCTAATTTATAAAGACAAATTACCCTTTTTAAAAGTGTAAATAAATTAGCACCGGTATGCGGCTCACCGAATAATTCAAACGTGATTGTTCTTTTCATCATTTGCCAATTATCTTGATCTAACCAATGTGACGTAACGGCTAAAAAAGAATTTCCGGTATTATGAGAGGAACTCCAAACGTCACATGTAAGCGACACACCATAACGGTGTTCTTGGAATCCTAAAATCATTTTTTCCCTCGCCGTACGCCACATTTTTATAGCATCTCTTCTAAGGGTAGTACGATTTACTTGAGTATAACGTGGTTGCATTAGTTGTTGAATTGTTGTCGTGAAATCTTCATCATCAAAGTGATCGAACGGCAATGCTTTTGTAATCACGAACTTTGTAAACGCTTCTCGTAATTTTTCGTTGTCGTAAACAAAAACACCACCTTGCGGTGTAAGATTCGTTTGACTAGGATCCGATCTTGAGCGAAGTGCCTTGCATGATTTTGTCAAATGGTTCTTCAACGTTGTGTTTCCTTCCGATGCAAGAAACTTTAGACAAAGTTTACAACGCGCCCTCCTCGAGCCATTTGACATATCACATAAATCGTAGTGATCCCAAATATATTTGTTTCGAGTGTGTTCGATCACTCTCACGACTTCAAGGTTTCCCCCGACGGAAGATTCAGCCGTGTTACTCATGATGAACAAAAAATTACAAAAATAAGATTTGAGAGATGTTTAAGTGTTGTGTAATAAGATTTGAGAAAGTTGTAATCAACCAAATACATCCCCAACCTATTTATACATGTTTAGGGTGGTAAAATGGTAATTTTTTAAAGAAAAAACGGTCACAAAACCCCCCCAACGGCTATATTAACGGCTAGTTTTTTAAACCCAGACCGGTTTTTTTTCCCGGATAAAAACCAGTTTTTTAACCGGTTTTTTTCAAACCGGTTTTTTATCCGGTAAA